TCTTCAACCTCCCACCCTTATATATCTCCCAATTGCTGAGTCAAAAGGGAATTATCTCTCATCTAAACTAATGTCACTTTTTAACCTCTCCTGTGACCATACAATGTTCTATTTCATATCAAAAGTATTTACAAATGTGGCATAGCTTCCCCCCATGACTCAGAGTTTCAACCCATTACTTACTTGCACAACTGAATCAAGGCCAAGCACTTTGCACCTGGCCAAGGACCCAGCCAACAAGTCAGTGTAGGGTGACAATGTAAATGCAAATAGCTGCCAAAAAGAAACAAAGCTTTGGGGAGATGGGCTGAGTCAGACAAATATCCTTTGACATACCCTGTTCTGATCCAATATCGACCACTCTGCTCCTGCGATCAGCTTTTTCCCACTTGTGTCAGCTCCTGGGATTTCAACCATGAACAGAAACCTTGGTCTTGACCTAATCTGACCTTCTGGTTTATGATTTTTCTATTTGCAATTAATGATGCATTGATGATGACGATGATGACAACGATGATAATGATAAATATCAACTGGCACTTATATAGCACTTTAAAGTTTGTAAAGTGCTTTATATGTTAATTCATTTGTTTCTCACAAAAACTCTATGATGTCAATGCAATTGTTATCCCTGTTTTATAGATGGAAAAACAGAAACACAGAGAGGTTAAGGGACTTGCCTTACTAGTAAGTATCTGAGGATGGATTTGAGCTAAGGTCTTCCTGACTGTAGGTCCAGCCCTCTATTAGTTAGGCCACCTAGCTGCCTCAGTGGAACTGAAAGAAACCTTTCCCCCCACCCCCGGCTGCTCTTTTCTCCCACTCTGCCTACTGCTGCTAGTAAAGTAGAACAAGCAATAAGCTTTTAGAGTATAAACTCTGTGAGGGCAGGACTACATCATAATTCCCTTTGTATTTCCCATGAGACTTTAAGTGTTTTGTACAGAGAAAGTATTTAATGAATAAATGGAATAGAAGGGGAGGAGGGAGCAAAGGCTTTATTTATTTATTTTTCTTCTTTCCCAGAATATCACATGCTGATCTGCAATAGATGTTTAAAAAAATGTCATTTGTTGTATTAAATTGACACAGGAGGTGTATGGCCCTTAATTTGTCCACACAGTAGAATATAGACTTCCAAGTATCAATAACCCCTTCACTGTTTTTAGCAAAAAAGCATCAAGGCAGGATCTTTGTGTTCTAAGTGGTTTGTTGCTTTTAAGCAGCTCGAAGACTCGATAAAGCTCTGAGATAAAGCTTCATTGCGAGCACAAATAAAAGCATCTCATTCACCAGTTGTGGCCCCAGCTAGTCCAAACTCCTCTTCCAGCTGACCCCATTTCATCATCTCTCTCACTTAACTTTCATTGTCCAGAGTTTATCTGACTTTGCACCCAGGTTGCTACTCCTCCCGGCTAAGAAAGGAGGCATGTTTTGGAAGCACATTGCCATGACAAAAAAAAAAATAACAAAATTGGCTAATCTGAGTATACTGCTTCATCTGGCACAAAAGCCCCAGAGCTACAGACAGGAGTTCTTGTAGGATGGAGCAAAGCACCCTCCTTTCCAGCCTGAGCTACAAAAATGGAGCATTTCCCACCAAGGAGTGGGGTTTCTGAACATTTCCCAAAGCCAAGATAGAGAAAGAGGCAAGTACATCCTGCCTGGGCAATGGTGCAAGGATTTATTATCAGGTCCCTGGAATATGTTGCTTTTCTTCTACCAGTCTCCTGCTCCTTTCTAATGGTCATTTCCCTTCTCCTGGGCCTCTCTGTCAGAATGGCAGATGGAAGATAGTTAAATCAATTTTATTTATGTGTTAGCAATTATTCTACAAGAGATAGTTCTAAACTGGAACAAATGAAAGTTTTCAGGGTCTTTGCAGAGAGCAAGTAACTTCAAAGAAACAATGTGGGACAGTGGGTAGAATGTGATACTTGGAGTCAGGGTCCTTGGGTTTGAATCCTTCTTCAACCACTTAACAGAATTTGAGCTGAGTCTTTAAGGGGTCTATGGAGGCCAGGAGACAAACATTAGAAAAGGGAGCATTTCAGGCATGGGAAACAGCCTGTCCAAAAGCATTAAGGTCAGAGTGGAAATGTCACCTATGGAAATGGCCCATTTATAGGGCTGATAATAGAGAAGTCCTAACTTCTTTGAGAGTCAGTTTTCTAATTTATAAAATGGGGATAATAAGACCTGTACTGCTTACCTCAGGAAGCAATGTGCTATAGTGAACAAAATCTTAGGACTTTAAGTCTGAAAGACCCTGGTTCAAATACCCCTAATATAGATGTGTGGCCATAATCTTGACACTTATCCTTTCTAAGACTTGGGCCACTCCCTAAGACTTTTTAACTAAGTTATAGATGGGTTACAATCAGCATGGTTACCTGCACACAGAGGGAGTTTCCATGATGGGGAAATCATAGATCCTTGATATACTATCTCAAAGGGTAACTGTGAAAAAAGTACTCTTCAAACCTGAAAAGTACTGTGGAAATACGAGTTATTTTCTATAATCCTCTCTTCCCCAGAGCTTCAGCTCAAAAATGATAGAATCTTGGAGCTTGAAAAGACCTCAGAGGTCATTAACTCAACCTCTTATATGAAACATGAACTCTCAATCAATAAATGTTTATTAAGCACCTAATATGTGCCAGGCAATATCCCAATCTACAACATCTTTGACAAGTGGTAATGTAGCCTCTCCTTAAGACCCTTAGTAATCAGGGACTCACTGCCTCCTGGGTCTTCCCCTTTTCATCTTTAGAAAGCTCTGTTTAGAAAGATTTTTTGGAGGGGCAGGGAGGGACTGTCTCAACAAGAGCTAAAAGCAGGGAGGGCCAACCCAAAGTTAACTGTGATTTCTAGGATAACTTCTCAGTACTCCCCACCATGGACTCACTATTCCAGTCAAATTGATTTCGTGCCTGTTCCCCATACATGAAATTTCACCTGCTGCCTTGCTGCCTTTGAATGGGCTATTTCTCCTACCTGGAATAGTCTTTCTTCTCCTTTTTGCCTTCCGTGATCCCTTCAAAGCTCAGTTCACATTTCCTCTCCTCTACTCATCATTTCCTCCCCCCATCCCTTTGGACCTCTCCATCATGGCCAAGGGCAAGGCGCCTTCCCTCTTCCCCTCTCTTCCGCTTTCTTTTGTGTGTTACTTCCCCCATTGGAATGGAAGCTCCTTGAAGGCGAGGACTGTTTTTCGTCTTTCTTTGTATCGCTAAACCTTAGTGCAGTGTCTGGCACATAGCAGATGCTTAATACATGTTTATTTATTAATAATTCTAGAAAATGGTTCTTTCTATTAGACTGACTGAGAGCTCTACTCATGTATTTTCTTATTAAGTAAAAGTATTTCTTTATTCTCCCATTCCCCCCCATTGCCCTCCTGCTCCAAATTATTTTGTATTTACTTTGCATAGATTTTGTATTTTCTTCTTGGCTTCTATGTCTCCCCCTGAGAGGATGAGAGCCCCCAGAGAACAGGGGCCATTGCCTATTTATCCTTATATCCTTCGTGCCTCGCGTAGGGCCTAGCACATAGCAAGTAGGTGCTGGACAGATAGTTGTTGAATGAATGAGGGCCCTACACCAAAGAAATTACAGATCTGGACCAAAATGGGAAAAAAGAAATGAACTTTCATCAAACTGACATTTTCCAGGCTGCAGAAACTGAAGGTCCCCATTGGGAAAGCCAATTCAAAGTGCTGTCAGACTCCCTGAAAAGAAGACCCTTGGCAGAATTCAAAATGAAACCACAGATACCCAAAGCCAGAGAGACTGGGCCATCACTTTACTTGAGGAAAATACTTGTCTTTCTTCATGAGAATTAGGGGATAGCTAAGACCCAAGAGGAATGACTGGAACTCCAGCTGCTTTTTTTTTAATTGCCCAGGAATTTCAGCCATGCCTTGAAAATTTCTGCTCTAAACTTGTATCAGTTAATTGATTAGCTCAGCAGCATATGCTCTGGTGCTGACTACATCCTATAGCTCATCCTCATATCACAGACTATGACATTACCTTTTTAGGGCACAGATCAATGGAGCAAAGAAAGTCACAAAAAGCCTGTAGCACTTAACAATTCTGAAGGAAATTACTTCTGTCCTGATTGGTGAATTTAGGGAACTTAATTTTTTTTTAATTTTTAAATGCTAGGGAAAGCACACACACACACACACACACACACACACACACACAATAAGTACATTTTAAAGAAACGTGTGAAGGAACTGAGACTTAGAATCATAGCGTCAGAAAAAGGCCTTATAGGTAATTTACTGCTATATTACAAAGAACATTGGGTTTTAATAGCATTTGATACTCTGCACCTCAGTTTCCCTTCCTCTAAAATGGGAATAATAATACTTTTAGTACCTATTTTGCTGATAGGGCTGTGGTAAAAACAAAAGGACTTAATGTAGCAATTAAAGTAATTATTATCATTATTATTTTACAGAGAAAACTGAGTCCCAGAAAAAATACCATAGCCATGCAGTAATTCTGATAATAGATAACATTTGTATAATATTTTAAGGTTTACAAAGTGCTATCTATCCATCTATCTATCTAACTGTCTGTCTGTCTGTCTATGCACTCTTCTTTCAGCCTTAAAAGAACCTTATGAGATAGGTGCTATTATGATCCCTATTTTGGAGAGGAGGAAAATTAGGGTAAGAGAGGCTGAGATTCAGGCTCAAATAACTAGTAAGGGTTTGAGGTGAGATTTGAACCTTGATCCTCTTGGCTCCAAGTTCTCTATACCTTGCTACCTTTCTGTGTAAGGGGCAGAGTCAGCACTTGAACTCAGGACTCTTCTCTGATTTAGCTACAGTATAGCATGTGCACAAACAACAAACATTTACTAAGCACTGACTGTGTACAAGGCCTTGTGCTTATTGCTGGGATTATACTTTTATTTTACGGGACACCCAGCTGCTTCTGAACTCTCTGCTCCCACTCTCTAGGGAACAGCAAGCATTCCTTACCCAACCACGCAATAATTCATAAGCTGTAACTCCCAGGGACCACCAATCTACAGGGTAGGAGTATCCTGGGCCTCCATCCATAAACACCTGGAATACTTCTGGAGCTGCCAAAGAGAAAAGAACAAAGGAGACATAAGTCATCACGCTCACTCTATGCCCTCACTTTACAGTCTTGGCAGGTGCATTTCTGTCTAGTTTGTGTGAGGTTGGTGGTGTCATGGACAAAGGGGTGTTCTCTCTTCCAGGAAGACCTGGGGATCAGGTCCTGCCTCTGACACAAGCCAGTTTTGTAATTCTAAGCAGGTCACGTCACCTCTTAGTGGTCTTGGAAACTCATTAAGCCTACAAGTTGCAGAAAAGATGCCAATCAGCAAGAGAGTTTCCTCACATATGAGTTCTTCTTACCAAGGAAATCATAAGTCCAGTCTCTGTCCATTGTATGATGCAAAATGTGTTTTTTTTTAAATCAAATCACAATTTGCAATTTTGCTTGAATGCTAAGTTCAGAAATGTGTTTCACCTAAAAGAATTGGGTCCTTGATGCAACTGTTTCTACTACTTTGATCTTTGATTCTTTCCTCTTCTTCATGGCATATCCAATCTGTCACTAAATTCTGTTGCTACTGCCTTCATGGGTATAATGACAAACAAATATAAAACCTCTCTGAATTTGGAGGGGGAGGGGAGGAATGAAAGGGAAAGGAAGGGAAGGGAAGGGAAGGGAAGAGAAGGGAAGGGAAGGGAAGAGGGAGAGATGAGAGGGTAAGTTGCTAAGAATTTTAGAGATCATCCAGTACAACCCACTCATTTAACAGATTGGTTCATCTAAATCCCTGAGAAGTCAAATGACAAATCTAAAGTCACATACAAATAGTTAGTGGCTTATCCAGGAATAGAATCCTGGTCTATTCAGCTTAATGCTCTCTCCTTTATACCAAGTTATTATTCTTAAGCTAATTAACTAAATTTTATGCTTTAATTTCCAGAAATATTTTATGAAATACATATCATCTCTGACTAATTTGCAGACATAATTCCATCTTGTATTTTTCAGAAAAGCTAAAATCATGATTGTGCAGCCATGGCATGTTGTGACTAGAAACATCTAAATTCAATTTCCAGGTGAGAGTTCATTCTGTCTAAAAAAAGTACACATTTAAGTTAAGGTGGTTGTGCTAAATGGTGTCTAAGTCATCCTTCCTGAAAATTGATGATTCTAATGGGTCTAATGAGAAAAGATGACATTGTTATTATACTTTCTTTGTATCTTCAACATCAACATGATTTTACATGTAGGATGTGATAAACAAATATTCATTGAATAAAGGGATGCTTTGGGGGGTAGTGGGAGCCCCTTACTTGAGTTCTTCAAACACAGGCTTGATGACCAGCTATTGCCTATGTTTTATCATGGAACAAGGCTAGAGGAGCATAGGAGTTCTGAATCAGTCACTCAGTGAGCACTTAGTAATGTGTAAAATGCTTAAGGGGGACACAGAATGAAAAAAAAACAGTATCTGTTTTCTTCTAATAGAAGAGACAACACACACACACACACACACGCACACACACACACACACACACACACACACACACAAAGCTATGCACAAACAAGATATATACAAGACAATTGGAGATAAACAGAAGAGGAAAGGCACTGGGATTGAGAGGGATCAGGAAAGTTTTCTTGCAGATGATGAAAGTCTAGCTGGGACTTGAAGGAAGCCAGGAAATAGACATGAGAAAGCAAAGAATTCCAGGTATGGGGGAATAATAGGTGAACATGCCTGAAGATGGGAGATGGCGTGTCTTATATGAGGCAAAGCACAAAGACCAATAGCACTGAATTGCTGAGTGCCTGGAAAGGTGTAATTTGTAGGGGGCAGCTATGGTGCAGTGGATAGAGTACCAGCCCTGGAGTCAGGATCCCCTGAGTTCAAATCCGGCCTCAGACACTTGACATTTACTAGCTGTGTGACCCTGGGCAAGTCACTTAACCCCAATTGCCTCACCAAAAAAAAAAAAAGAAAAGAAAGAAAAAAGAAAACAAAAGAAAAAGAAGTAATTTGTAAGAACACTGGGAATGTGGGAGGGGTCAATATAGAAATGTCTTTGAATGCCAAACAGAAGATTTTATACTTGATCCTGGAAATGAGAGGGAGTCACTAGAGTCATTGAGTGTGGGAGGAGGGGGGAATATGGTCTGACCTTTGTTTTAGAAGGATCACTTTGATAGCTGAAGGGAGGGTGGATTGGAGTGGGTAGAGACTTGTGGCAGGGAGACAAAACAAAAGGCTATCATAATAGGCCATGAGTGAGGTGATGAGAGCCTGTATTAGAGTGGAGGCAGCATCAGAAGAGATTACAAGGAGGGTGCATATAAAAAGGATGTTACAAAGCTACAAATAATAGGACTTGGAAATCGACTGGATATAGTGGGTGAGAGAGAATGAGGAGGTGAGGATGACTCTAGGTTGTGAGTCTGGATGACTGGGAAGATGATGCTGCCCTTAATAGTAATGGGGAAGTTCAGAAGAGGGGACATCTTGGGAGGAAAGATAATGAGTGCAATTCTAGACATGTTGTGTTTAATATGTCTATGGGTCATCCAATTTGGAATGTCCAATAGGCATTTTGAGATATAAGACTGCTATTTAGGAGAGAGGATGGGGCTTGATAAAATAGATCTGAGAACTCTAAGATCTTTTGATTATCTTTTGTTTGTTATTAGATTATTTGGTTCTCTGCCCATGACTAAGCTAGTACTACCATCTTGTTCAGAGCATCCAAGTATAATAGTCATGCAATACAATAAACATTTATTAAGTGCCTACTGTGTGCCAGGCACTGTGCTAAGCACTGGAGATATAAATAGGAAAAAGAAAAACTGTCCCTACCTTCAAGGAGCTTATAATCTACTGTGCATGATAGTGGAGGAATCTAAACCAATCGGTGAAGCTGTGAAAAATGAAGAGTTTTCTGGGATTCAGAGTCATCTTTCAAAGGAGACTTTGGGAGGAGTTGTTTTACTCTACCTCAGAGGCAACTGAGGATACTGAAGAGGTGTGAGTACCAAAGCTGAGGAAAAGCGACAACAACTTCGTAGAATCATAGATTTAGAACTGCAAAGGAACTCGGAGGTCATCTCGTCTAATTTCTCATTGGGAAACAGGTCCTGTGATGGGAAGTAAACTTGCCCAGGGTTACATTGGTAGTATGAGGCAGAGCTGGGGTCTGAAACCAGGTCACCAAATCCAACACTATTTCCACTGTCTCCTTCTTCAACAAAAGTTTATAATCAATGCATAGAAATTTATGACCAAATATTTGGGGAATTTTAGTTTTAGTTTTCTTTACTCTAGGAAGAAAGTGTTAACATACTGCAAACTAATTGCATTGGTTTAAGAATCAGGAGAAGTCATAGTTCTAGGTCTGACCATTACTAGCTATGTGACCTTCAACAAGGAACTCTGCCTCAATTTCCTCCTCTGTAAAATTAAGAGATTCAGCTATTTGTTCTCTTGCATCTCAAGTTCTAATATTCTCTGTTCTAAGGCACCTTCAAGCTATTATATCCTCTGTACTAAAACCCCTTCCCACTATGACATTCTGTGTTTTAAGGGCCCTTCAAATCTGTTCTGAAGTCTCTCTTTTAGTTCTAACTTTCTATGTTCTAAAGTCCCTTCCAGCCTTGATTCCCTCTAAGTCTATATCATAACAATTTTTTATGGGAAGCCCAGGACTTAAAGCAAACTCTAAGGAGCAGTGGATCCAGGAGAATTTACATTGTATTTTTTCCTATCCTACCCAAGTCCAGAGAATAAAAATGAGAGCTCACACTTTAATTTCCCTTTAAGAGATGACAAAGCACTGCAACTTACAGCGACTCTGTGGGTGTACACAGTACAAGAATTATTATCCCAACTTTACAGTTGAAGAAACTGAAGCCTAGAGAGGTGAAATGACTTGTCCAACATCTTGCCATTAGTAAATGTCATACTAAAATTGGACCTGGGTCTCCTATTCTCCAAGACACCTTGTGCATCTGAGCAGAGACATGTGCTACTTTCTGGGCCCGCCATACATTGGAGAGTGTGGGACACTCAATGGATATTTAAGTAACAGAGCTCTCCCAGACTAACTTTAATTTGCAACAATTTCATGAAGGTTCCTAGGCTGGAGGAAGGCAGCAGAAACCAGGCCACTAGTTAGCCTAGTAGGATTTGGAGAGAAAGCCAGACTACAGTCTTTGGCATAGTTCAGAGCCCTTCTTCCCCTGACCTAGACCATTCTACACCCCTGAGGCTCTGCTTCTCCTGGAGCCCAGAGAAATTGTTCTTCACATAACCAGAGTATTCAATAACCCTTTATTAAGCACTGACTTTGTGCTAAGTTCTAAGAGATACACAAACCCAAATGAAATGGCCCCTGCCCTAAAGGAGCCTACATTCTATTGCCTTCTCGATTTGACCAAAAGCTCCATTTAATAATAATTTTTAAAGGACAGGTGGAAGTTGATTTCGACTTTTGTTCTTTCCAACTTGGCAGCTTATGTACAAACTCAGTGGAAACCCTCATGGCTCTGCCATCATCTGCCCAGTGGTATGCCAATATCAGTTCTCAAGTTGTCCCAAACATTGCCATGAGTAGTTGAGTAATTCTGCTAGCACAGGTTTTAAATAGAAAGCAAGAATTAAGCCCGAGGGGTGGCACGTAATCAGTTATTCAGAAATGCATTGGTGTGGAGTGTAAAATTAAAGAAAGCAAATTCCATCCCTTCCCCCCACCCCCGCCTTGGAAATGTCAACATGAACTTGGTTGGACTATACATGTTACACTAAACACTACCAAGCTGAGAATACTTCATCACTGTTCAAAAAGAAAAAAAAAAGAGCAAGCCCACTAATGATGATAATTATGAGCTTCCTGATTTAGCTCTCAGAATATGACTGAAAGCTGCGATTGCTGTGACAGGGTGTAAAATGTTGTTTAGTGACTAGACCTGCTAAGCCTGAAATCCTTCAGCTCTAGGTAGTATTTGAAATGTTATTGGGTTTGTTTTACCGTTGACTAGGAATACTGCAATAAATGTCATCAATCCAAG